GCCCCGCCCGCTCGGCCCCCGCCAGCGCAGCCCGTCCCGCTGCGCCTCCCCCGTCCTACCCGAGCTGGTGACATGCAGCAGCCCCCCGCGTAGCGTCCGCATATGCGCACTCCTCTGTCGCCCCGGTCTCTTCCCGTAACACCCCCGTCTCCCAAAACACTGCTACAGTTGTTTCATACTCCCCTTGCCTGTTCACCTTGTCTTCCTATAAATAGTATTAAACAATTAGTCCCTAGCGCAGATTAGGAAGGAGTGTCTTGGCCCATTTCAAGAACAGCTGTTGGGAATGGGAGCAAAAAGGGAACAAACTTCCCATCCTCTCTTAACTCCCACCGCATCATGTGAAAAAACTTCAAAAAGCTTGTAAAAGCAGCTGAGGCCAACTGCAACACAAGGTCGTGCAGCACAGATAAAGTTCTGCTACCAAGGCATTTAATTATTAAAAAATGTATCTGCCGACTAAACCAGACTACACTGTCTACGTGAGGCTGAGGATGTACCGCATGAACAGGATGTAAAGCATCATTTTCCCTTAGTCACTCTAGATGACTTGCTTGTCTGGAAGTAGTGAGGCAAGTTTCCTGTAATGGTCTCTCACTTTTTCATGTTTCTGGACTACCAAACAGCTTTGCCAGATGAGAGACCTTTCAGAAATCTGAATGTTGCATGAATTATATCTGAAATGCACTAATTTAAAGAAAATAGAATATTATCAGCAGTTCTTACATATCTTTCATTAGGTCATCAGAGAAGTGTATCTCCTAACCCCATGTCGCCTAGAGAAAGGAGGGATTTACTTTCATCAGTAACTATTATTGAACACTAGAATCAGAATTAATAATTTGACTTTTGAAATAAATCTGAGTTTCATCTAGCTACATGAAATCTATCTACATATAATTTCACAGTAATGCATTTATTAAAGGGATTTAGTTCATTTGTTTATATGAACCACCTCTGGTTTAAAACACCAGTGAAATCTGGCCTCAAATGATTTTACAGATCTGAGCACACAAAAATTATGGTGCAAATTCCAGCATAATTTATACTCTGCAGTGGGCCTCTCAAAGCACTCATCAGAATCAATACATAGTAGGCAAATGTCTAAATCCATATACCATGCTGACTGGTGGCATACTCCTTTTCCTTACGTCTTGCTCCAGAGTTGCCTAACCTATCAACTACATTATCTCTTGCGACCCTTCCTCACCCTCCCCCGCTCCTTTCAAATTAGCTGCCATTTTCTCCAAGGTACCTCCAGACAGTCCCTAGTGACGTAGCTAAATGCATGTCAGTTCCTCAAATGACTAACTGTTGGCTTCTAGTGATTCAGTAGTGCCCGAAAAGGGTAAATTTTAATCTTAATGGTGAGTCAAAACGATTACACAACATGGATTTTGGCATCAGTGTAGAAAACCTGTATATACCTAAACTAAATGCAGGAAATGTCCTGGTTCCATAGATGGAAATGAAAGGAAACCTTTTTCCCTTTTAGCAAAAATGAACAAGAATTTAGAAGAGACATATTTTCTGTTCTTACCAAACACTAGCGAGTTCAGTAGATTTAGGCTAAAGGTAGATTTCAGCCACCTTTTGAACCACCTTCAGAGTCAGAGCTTCTGAATACAAGTCTTTGGCCCCGTGTACTGTGAAACAGCAACACGTAGAAGCAGCTTCACAAAGAAAGAAAAATTTGGACCCACCCTCTGAAAATGCTGCATTTTAGAGAGGAAAAACAGGCTATATCCTGGCTACAAAAGTGCTCTGGAGCCTAGCAGTATGCCCAAAGGCTGTGTCCAACTCATCATGGCCCATAACAAGACAAGACCTGGGATTACACAACTGCCACCCTCATTCTTGTTTCTATGGAAAAGTTGTTCCAAGACACAGGCCACATGTGAGCCATGGCACACTCCAAAGATGCCTACCTGGACAATCAGAGGAACAGATTTATGAGAAATATCATGCAGAGACTCAGTAAATTACTACGGACATAGTCTGCTTTGATGAAACATAAAAATTAAAAGGTGATTCAGAAAAGTTGTTTTTCCAATGGAGATTTCCTTCAAATGAATAAATTTATTTCTCCAGAACCCTGAGAAATGTATTTGGTATACAGTATACAAACATGATCTTCTAAATAAAAGTGGCCTACTTTACAGCTTGCAAAGGACTCCAGAGGCATTTCTGATCCATTCTGAAATTTGGGTGCTGTTATTTAGGAACTAAATGACACATTTAAATTCCAGTTTCATCCAGGCTAGAGGGATTTGATTTCCATGTCTCTCTTTTCCATGTGTACCTGTACAACAACCATGGGTTAATATTTTTGAAGACTATATGCAACTTTGTAGGTACAGTTCATGTTCTTCAACTGCATCTTGAGAGTTATATAAAAAGACCTTATTTTCATACTTGCTTTAGAAACAAACTCAAAATTACCGAAACCTCAACTCTGAATATTATCAGCCTTTCTGCAATAAATATCTTAAAAGGGTTCTTTGTACAACATGATCTGCTACATTTACCTTTTGAATCAAAGGCAGAGGTGTGTGCATTGCACAGTGCACAGTTAAGTTCTGTATGAAACCATTTGAAACGTTCAGTGTTACTGTTAACATTCTTAAAAACATTGCAGTGAAAATGCATAAGGATACAACAGACTCCATTCAAGTGCAAATAAGAAAACAGCCTTAAAACCAGAACATTTATAAAAACTTAATAAGAATACATGTTTACAGGCACTTTTAAGGTAATATCTGGCACTCACCTACAAACTGCAGGAAAGCAAAGAGTATAGTTGGAATTTGGAACAGCAAGCAGCAACCACCCAAGTCTCTGTACGATACACAGAAGCATTTCTACAGTTCAGGAGGTGCAAGGGAAGACATTTGCCATCAGAAGCCCTAAGTTCTGGAGCAAGGATGCTTTATCTTATGTCAGCTACCCTCTTTCCAGGGTTACTCTGTAACAACAGTATTGCAGTCATTTCTGCCTTTTTCGAAGCCTGATCAGGCAAAAATTTCTAGCATTCTCTGACTGTCTTTACTGCTGTGGATGGCAAACAGTTACGAGATTCACTACATCACTCTGTTTTTATTGGAAACAACCTAGGAATCTCATAAAGCTCAACAGAGGAAAATGTAAAGTCCTACACCTGGTGAAGAATAACCCCATGCACCTGGGGGCCAGCCAGTTGCAAAGTTGAGGGTCCTGCTGGATGTCCCCAGCAATGCCAGCAATGTCCCCTTCTATTCAGTAGACATAATTAGCCTTCCTTGGTGCAAAGACACAAAAAAAATAACGAAGTCAAATGAAATATGTAAATAAAGAACACACCAGGATCCTTATTTATTTGGAAACTAGTAAGAAATTATGGAGTGAAGGACTTTTTAGTGGAGGGTTGGTGGAATCCAGCATTATACTTTCCTATTAAGAATCTCATTTAGTGAGAAACTAAAGCGAGACCTTCACAGTCTACTCTGGATGAAAAAATTGCCTATTTAATTATTCCTCACGGGTTCAACAACATTTTGAGAACATCTGTAACAAGTGGCATACTTACAGATAAACAATACAAAGATGCAGAAAATTTTTAAAATTCAGTTGTAACTGTAAAGAAAAATTTTTCAAAAAGCTCTTTTCATAGTTAGATGCCTTAAGTCACCGTGTTTTGAGTTCTCCTTGCTGCACTTGAATATTCCCTCTACTCAAAAGTGCACTGCAGCATATGTAATGCTTGAACACATGCAACGTAACTCCACCTAACAGACAGAGGTTTTGTGCCTTCATCTCAGTTCCAAGTGTTTATGAGGTTATCCAGACTGTGCAGCCTTCTGCAAGCACAGCAACCCTGTGTTCTGCTCACTTACACTACTGCTTTGTTGAATACTGAATCAAACCCAGTGATCTGGGGGATGATGTTGGGGGCTGTCACTTACCCTGGCACGTCACCCTCTATGAACACATCTCTTTCAGAAAATGCATTCTTCAAAAACAATAGGAGTCATCAGCTACAAAAGCGAGACCACAGACCACCAGTCAGTTTACTCAGCAGCTGGTCTGTGCCTATGGACATCCACTTCTGAAAAACAGACCAACTGCAGTGACACTCTACTGCCTCTACAAAAAACTCACCGACCTCTTAAACGGTGTGAGTGTTCTACAACTGAAAGCTAACCAGAGAGCATGTGTTGCACTCTGCTGACTAGGTGGCAGAGAGATGGAGGCTTTAGTAGGGCAATGTTGACAGATGTGAAGGACACACCAGTCCTCTTTTTTGACTTTTTAACATGTTTGGTTAACACTTCTTTCCTTATCTAGCCTCTTATATCATTTGAGTAGATATAAAAGATACTGATGGTTTAGATATTTTACCAAACTTCACATTCACTGTTACTCCTCTCCATTCCTCGGTACCTCTGTCCATCCTGAAAATACCTTCACAAAGTATGTATCTCTTAAGGTTTGAATTAAAAATTCTACCGCTGAGTATACATTTCTATGATGTAGCAATTCAAGTAAAGTGCTGTAAGGAATCAAATGATTTTGCAGGATGGAACTGTCCCCTTTAAGAAATTACAGAGGGTGGGGTCATGGCAAATAAAACTATCTCCCTCTCAAAAACTAAGTTTTTCAGTCCTTTGGGACTGGCAGTGGAGATCATACTTCCTTTTCTGAGAGAACTAAGATTACCTATAAAGACACGTAAAAATGTCTTCAGCAGCTAGACTCCACCAAATTTTCTGGGCCTCAGGCACTGCACTGCTTGCCTCAGAAGCTCCACAAGAAGCAGTGCTTTTTGCTCTTCTGCAATTGCCTTCAGCTAGCCTGTAAGCAAATGGCCTAAATTCAGGTAATGGTAGAACAGCCCAAAACTGGTTTTACTGA